TTTCTTTCTTTCTTTCTTTCTTTCTTTCTTTCTTTCTTTCTTTCTTTCTTTCTCTCTCTCTCTCTCTCTCTCTCTCTCTCTCTCTCTCTCTCTTTCTTCTTTCTTCCTTCCTTCTTCCTCTTCTTCTCTCTCTCTCTCTCTTTCTGTTTTTTTGAGTCAGGGTTTCTCTGTGTAACAGCCCTGGCTGTTCTGGAACTCACTCTGTAGACCAAGCTGGCCTCGAACTCATTGAGATCTGCCTGCCTCTGCCTCCTGGGTGCTGGGAATAAAGGCGTGCATCACCACTTTTTTGATGCAGTATTATAACAGAAACAATCAGCAGATTAGGATGAGTGCTGGGAGGATTAAAGGTGCTTGCCACCACTGCCCAGCTGAAAAAATCAATTAAAAAAAAAGACTTTTGCAACTCTTAAGTTCTCTCTCTAGCCCCCAAATTAAATTTTCTGTAAACATGTATTCCACAATTAATGATCTGGTAATCATAACAGGTAAGTGGTTGATGGAAAATATGCCAAGAATGTAGGGTTTAATCTGTATGGAGAACCTAAGGCAGGAAAAACAAATAAACAAACAGCAACAACAACAAAAAACAAGTTAGCTTGTAGCTGGAACTGCAACACTGGTGCTTAGTCTTCGGGGCTGCAGTAGCTGGTGCAGAGAAAGGACCCTGGAGAGTTGCAGTGCTGGTTATCATCTACTAGCATCTCTGACTCACTCAACTGGACCTATGTGCAGCAGGTATGGTTTCCAAGGGGAAAATCCTGATCCTTTGAAACATTCTCCATCAGATGATCTGATGTTAGGCAGTCTGTAAGGAAGACAACACCTCTGCCCTGTGGATTGTATCAACAGTCACCAAGATGACAGTGCAGGGACTTGACCAGTTTTGCTAGCTTACAAATGTCTGATGGGTGAGTGGAATAGAAAGCCACACTTGACATCTGTCTCCATATTATGTCTACCTCCTTTGTTGCCTTCATCTTTGGGTTAAATCTTATACAGTTCTATATGTAGACATGCTGAACATCTTAGAAATGCAGGATTAACTTGACTTAGAGTTGTCTAGTCTTTTCTCAGACCCACTTAGGGCTAAAGATGCCTACCAGCCACCATGATCAGAAATCCCAGACCGTAAAAAGAATAGAAAGAGTGGTACCAGAGTTCTTGGAGATCTTTGCCTATTCCCAGAACCCTCTCATTATCCCTTGCAGGTGAGAAGTCAATTTGTGAACAAAGCTCCCACTTCTTTATTCTTTAGTCACTGAATAAATTTTTGTGTCCCAACATTTGTCTCTTAGATACTAGATATTACAGGCAAGGTATTTAGTCATAGGGTACTAGCCCTGGCTGGTCTGGCTCTCTCTATGTAGACCAGGCTGGTCTTGAGCTCATATCGATCCACCTGCTTCTGCCTCCTCCTCCTCCTCCTCCTCCTCCTCCTCTTCTTTTGCCTCTGCCTTCTTAATGCTGGATTAAAGGCATGTACCACCATGCCTGGGCCTTGTATATTTCTTTTAACATGTTTTTTAGTCGTTTGTTTAAAAATAACATTACTATTATTAGTGTGCGCCTGTGTGTGTGTGTGTGCGCGCGCGCGCGCGCGCGTCATAGTACATGTGTAGAGATCAAAGGACAACTCTGGAGAGTCAAATCTTTCCTTTCACTGTGGGTTTTAGGGACTGAGTTCAGGTCATTGGACCTGCCTGACAAGTGTTTTCCCAACTGAACAGCAGCATTTTTTCCCCCTGAAACACTCTCATGTAAATCAGGCTACCCTCAAAGTCACTATTTAGACAAGACCAGCCTTGAACTACTGATCCTTTTGCCTTAGCCTCCCAAATGCTGGGATTACAGGTAAACACCACCTTGTCTTTCTATTGTTGTTTTGAGACAGGGTCTCTATATAGCCCTGGCTATCCTGGAATTCATTATCTAGACCAGGCAGGCCTCAAACTCAGAGATCCGTAGCCAGAATCTTTTCTCTGTCCTGCAGTGGCTTATAAAATAATTACTCAGAGGCTTAATATTAATTACAAACTATTTAGCTTAGTAATACTGGTACTTTCACATCTTGCTTCTTGGGAGGCTGGCTAGTGTCTCCCTGACTCTGGCTTCTTCTCCCTGTATCTCTGCTTAGATTTCCCACCTGGCTATATCCTGCCTTGCTATAGGCCAAAGCAACTTCTTTATTAATCAATGATAATAAAACATTTCACAGTGTACTGAAAGTTATCCCACAGCAGAGATCTACCTGCCTCTGCCTCCTGTGTGCTGGGATTAAAGGTGCGAGCTACCATGCCTAGCCTCACCATGCTCACCATACCTTTTTAAGATTTTTTTTTTAACTGTATGTGTGGGTGACTAAGGAGGCTTGTCATTGGATTCCTAGGAACTAGAGTTACAAGCAGTTGTAAGGCTCCTGATGTAGATGTTGGGCATTTAACTCTGGACCTCTAGAAAAGTGGCAAGTACTTTCAACTACTGAGCCATCTCTCAATTCCCTTCTTTTTCCTCTTCTTTTTTTGGAGACATGCTGGCCTAGAACTCACTATGTAGCCCAGGCTGATTGGAAACTTACAGCAAATCTCCTGCTTCTGACTCCTGAGTATTGTAATTACACACATAATCTACCATGTCCAACTGTCCTTCATTGTTTGGAGTAGTTAGTACACGTCCATTGTTTTGGGGAGCTACAGTTCAGGGTTTCCTTGAGGCCAATAAATAATGGCCCAATTTCTAAGCAGGCAGGCCTCTATGAATTCAAGGCCATCCAGGGCAGTGAGACCCTGTCTCAAAAGCAGTAACAACAATAAAAAGTTTTTAATATATACTTAAGTGTAGGGAGGTGGCAGGGATGGGGGTGGGGGAGAAAAGCAAGGGGAAGGTAGTAGTTGAAGACAGTACACATCCAAGGGTGGGTTCTGGCTTCTCAAGTCAGAGTCCTACTTTAAAACGACTAACAGTCTTACTAAATACCCCTTTTAGTTCAAAAAATCTCAACTTAAATCTAAACAATGATTTTATAGCTATACACTCTTACCTCATTTATATTGGAATCTGTTATCCGGCCCCGCGTGCTCATTATTTTAATCAGTCTATCTTTGATGTTGGGGGGCAAATATTTAATATCTGAGATATATCTGGAAATATTGATCATTAGGCACCGAAGACATCTGAAACACACACACAATATAATAAATTACACTGTATCTGCACTGGCCCCTGACACTTACCAATACTGCTTGTCAGCAGTTAGTCCTTTCATAAAACAGTATTTTTATTAACATTTACAAATTTAGCTTGACAAGATTCGTAATCACTGCTTATGTAAAGTAACATATGACATTTTCCTTACTCCTTTCCCTCTGTATACCCATTGCCAATATGCATTTTAACATTTTGCTTTGAAACAGAGTCTCATGTAGCCTAGGCTTGCCTCCAACTCACTATTCTATAGCACAGGATGACCTGGAATTCCTAGTCCTCCTGCCTTACATCTAGAATTCTAGGATAACACACATGTTGTCACCATCCTTGACTTTATTAAAATACATTTTAAGGAGGGCATGGTAGTGTATACCTATAATACTAGCACCTGGGAAGTGGTAGGAGATCAAGAGTTCACAGCTATCCTCAGTGAGCTGGAGACTAACCTGAGATATATCAAATTCTGTCTCAAAAAAAAACCAAAACAAAACAAAAAACAAAAACAAAACAAAACAAAACAAAACCAGGACTGGAAAGATAGTTCATTCATTAAGAGCACTGGCTGCTTTTCCAGAGGACCTGGGTTTGATTCCTAGAATGCATATTGCCAACATGCATTCTTACAACCAATTGTAATTCTAGTTTCGGGGGATCTTATGCCCTCTTCTGGCAACCATAGACACCAGCTATGCAAGTGGTACACAGACATACATATATACAGAGAACCCTACCCATACACATAAAACAATTTTCAAAAAATTTATACAGGCAATGAATGACTAGAGAAAAAACTAGAACCATAAAGATGCTATGGAGAGTAAAAATCAGTTACCTGCATACGCAGTTATGAGAGGAGGTAACCACTAAGATCCTGAAGCAGTTGAGGACAACTTAATTAAGATTTCATTTTGGCACATTGATTATTTCAGGATAAATGCACTTGATAAATACAGCTTGCAGAAAGGTCTCTCTAACCTATCCTTTCCTACACTAGCAAACCAAAGAAATCCCTTTGAGCAGGATGCCTTCCCTGAACCATATCCAGAACCTTAACCATAAAGCCTTGGCAGTGTAATTGCCAAAGGCCATACAAACTTCATACCCCTTCTTACAGCTCCCACTGTTGGCTCTAGAGTTTACTGTCTAGCTAGTTTATTGTCCTGCTATTCCTTCACAAGTGATTGCTTTGTCAGAAATGTGCTAAAGCCTTCCACTTTGGCTATTTCTACGAAAGAGTAAAGAATGGGTAGAGAATTTCTTTAGCCTCTTTTAAAACAACGTGACCAACATGTCTTATAGCCTCAAATTCTAGCTATTTGACAAACTCATACCTGTATAAAGTAACCACAAATTCTGTCTACAAATACCACTATATATAAATTTCAATTAATGAATGACAATGATCATATACTTGTTATCATTTTTTAGTGACATCTTCACTTTTTTCTTTCCTCTTTTGGTTATTTCCTTCTTCCCCTTTCTGCACTTATCCAGTCTACATTAGTGTCTTATGTTAATCTAGGAGATAAGTCTTTCTTCCTCTGTGATACACAACCCCACACAAACATTCAAAAGGGGTGTTGTGAAGGGAGGTATAATAGTTTCCTAGAACAGCATCCCAGTATAGTCACTTCTCAATATCTTCTTCATTCAACAATCTCTTGTGCAAACCCTTCAGAGCATTTCAGTACTGTTCTCATTATGTGTAATGGTTTAAATGTCACAGTGGATATATATATATATATATATATATATATATATATATATATATTTTTTTAAGATTTATTTATTGTGTATACAGTGTTCTGCCTACATGCATGCTTGCAGGCCAGAAGAAGGCGCCAGATCTCATTACGGATGGTTGTGAGCCACCATGTGGGTCCTGGGAATTGAACTTAGATCCTCTGGAAGAACAGCCAGTGCTCTTAACTGCTGAGCCATCTCTCCAGCCCCCACAGTGGATATCTTAGTTACTTGCCTTTTGAAAAGCATCCATACCATTCTGGGGTATGGTAACAATATTATCAGATTTCTTTTTTAAAAATCTATAACTATATTGTTATTATTATTGCAGTACTGGAGGGGTCTTTTCCTCCATATCCCCCAGCAATGAATATTTTTCCACATATTACCATTTTCCCTACTGTTGTGTATCAGAGCTCTTCCTGAGGAGACAGGGAGCTCATGACAGAGCATAGTGCAGTTGATACCCAAGGCCAACTTGATGAACCATGAGTTTTATTGGGGTTACTCACAGGGATATGAATGAGGAGTTACTTATAGAAGCTTATCCAAGACAGCTGCACCACCAAAGCCCACCCCAAGCTGAGAACCTGAAGCATACTACAGAGTCTACAAGCAGCTCAACAGGTTGGAGAGTCCTTTCCAAGTGACCCAGTTGTTGCTCTATCCCTCTTCCAGACTAGCTGGTCTGGTCTCAAATTCTGTGCAAGTTGGCTTGACTGAGAGTGACTCAGCTGTCTTTATTTCCCTACTCTTGGAAGGAGGTGGGTAAATCTGGTCGATTTCAGGGACTTCCTGGTTACCTTCTGTTTTAAGCTTCCCTGGAAGATGGGATGTTTCAGTTTCAAAGAAACTGCTACAAAACACCTACTTCCCAACACTACTGGAAGAGCAATGCATACTCTTTTCTTTACTTTGCATTTTCACCCAGCCCCCACTTTTTTTCCTTTTTGGTTTTTGAGACAGGGTCTCACTATGGCTTTAGATTCATGGCAATCTTCTTATTTCAGTATTTCCAGTGCTGGAATTACAGGCAAGAACCACCACACTTGGTTGTACTTCCTTTTTTATTGTTGTTTCATAAAAGTCCAGTGTGGCACCATATTTGCAAATTCCCTGGCTTAGCTTCCCAAGGACTAGACATGTGTTACCATGCCCAGGTTAACCCAGCTGAGAGCCCGTTTACTCAAGGGGTTATTTATGGGTGGTAAAAATAGATATTCTGAGACAGGGCTTCTCTCTGTGTAGCTTTGTGTCTGTCCTGGAACTTGCTCTGTAGACCAGGCTGGCCTTGAACTCACAGAGATCTGCCTGCCACTGCCTCCCGAGTGCTGGGATTAACTTGGCTAATATATAAAATATTTATCCTTAAAAATTTTAACATGCATTTATCTATGTGTATGTGTCAGGATGAATATGTGTATGTGAGCAGGCCTGTCAGGGGACACTGGGGAAAATCAGAGGACAACCCACCAGTCACTTGTCTTGTTCCACTGTGTAGCTCCCAGGAATTGAATTGGCTTGGAGACATTCATCTTTATCCACTGAGCTATCTCTTTAGCCCTTGACAGTTTTATTTTTTGAGTTCTAGATATTAATCTAGATGTTAGATGTATAGACAGCAAAGATCCTCTCCCCATTCTCTGAACTACTTCTTCCCAATTCCTTTACTTTGAAAAGTTTTCTTTTTCTTTTTTTTAAAATTTCATGCAATCCTACCTGCCAATTCCTGGATTTATTTCTCTGAGTTATCATTTTTTGGACAGTCCATTCAAATGCCCATGCTTTCCTCTAGCAGTTTCAGAGTTTGGGGTCTTACATTAAGGCCTGTGATCCACTCTAAGTTGATTTTTATTTGGGAAGATAGGGATATAGTTTTATTCTTCTATATGCTTTCCCAGAACCAGCTGGCAAAAAGATTATCTTTTTTCAAATATATGTTTTTGACACTTAGTCACTGTTCTATTTCTGCAAAGAGACACCATGACCAAGGCAGTTAACTCTTTTAAAAGAAAGCATTTAATTAGGGGCTTAACTTACAGTTTCAGAGGCTTAATTCATTATCATGGTGGCATGCAGGCAGTTGCTGAAGCAGTAGCTGAGAGCTATATCCTGATCCATAGGCAGAGAGGAGAGTGTCACAGGGCCTGGCTTGGGCTTTTGGAACCTCAAAGTCCACCCCTCAGTGACACATTTCCTCCAACAAAGCCATACCTCCTAATCCTTCTAATCCTATCAGAGTTCCACTCCTGTGACCAAACACTTAAATCTATGAGCCCATGGGGGCCATTCTTATTCAAACCACCACTTCCACCCCCTGCCCCATAGACTTGTAGCCATACGATGTGAAAATGCATTCAGCCCAACTTCACAAGCCCCCATAGTTTATCACAGTCTCAACACTGTTTAACCGTCCTAAGTCCAAAGTCTCTTCTGAGACTCATGACAATCTCTTAACTGTAACCCCCCTGTAAAATCAAAATCAAAAGACAGATCACAAACTTCCAACAATGGCACAGAACATACATTACCATTCCAAAATGGAGGAAAGAGCACAGTGAGGAAATACTCGACCAACTCAAGACCAAAATCCAGCAGGGCAAACTCCAAATTCAGCTTTATTGACTGCAACATACTTATGTTTCTTGGGCTGGTTCCACACTCGGGTATGCAGTTCTCCTTGGCAGGTGTCCCACAAACCTGTCATTTGTCCCATAACGTCTTGGGGTCTCCAAGACAATCCAGGCTTCAGCTTTGCAGTGGCCTCTCTGGGCCTCCATGCAGGACGCCCTGGCCTCAGCAGCTTTCCTTAGCCACAGAGGGAGATTCCATAGCCCCTCTCTTGTATTCTTGACTCTGAAGCCGGAGGCTCGTGGCCGAAGCTGCCAAGCTCTGCTGCTTGCTGGGGTTGGAACAAGGCTGCTTGGGTGACACCTGCATCAGCTTTCTGTGGTGGATGGTTTCCGTCATCACTGCCTGAGCTTTCATTCCTTTTCTAAGGTGGATGCTTACCTGGGTGGGGTCTTGCCCTGAGGTCAGCACTGTCTTTATTCTGTTTAGCACCAGGCTTTTCTTTAAACTTTTTATCGCTGAGCACTGGACTTGGCTCCATTACAGTCCCAGCTGCTCCTTTTCTCTTCAAACTGTACTTGTGTTTCTCTTTGTCCAGCTTGGGCCTTTTCCATTGTAGATGTGCATATGAGTGATTACCAATAACCACATG